GGCTTCATTACATAAACTTCTAGCCAGGTTTACTATTCATTTTATTTACAGACTGTCATAAAGATTGTTAAAAGTTTACTTTTTTGTTCTGTATATTTTTTGTCATATATTTTCTTTAATTTTCAAGAATAAACATACTTAGTTCATTATTCTATTATTTTTGTTTGATAAGTACATGTATTTATCGTCTTCGTATGATCAAGTGATTTTTGTTGAGTGTAGAACAAATCATTAGAATTCTTAACTTCAATGTAACATTAGTCTTATTCAATAAAATATAAACATTTGTAAGTAGAGTATTATGGATAAGTCTTTCGTTTTATGGTCAGTATAACAATGTAATACTTTTTTTTAAAATAGTATTCTATTCCAATTAACTAGTTAAATGGGAAGGGTCTAATATGTCTATCTATTGTTAGATTAGTTTACAATTTTGAAATGCTTTAGTGAGTATTCGTAAAATTTAATAGAACACAATAGGACGAAACGGCCGTCCAGGGTTTCCAGCTTTTCCATGGTGGTCTAACTTCAATTGACTCATAATCTGAACTATTGAAATTACTACAATCTCCACAAAACCCGTTTTGATATTAGAATATTTCTTAAAATAATAAGTCGAAAGTAAAAACAACACTAAATTGTGCTAAATCTTTTTTATCATCATCATCAAAGTTATCAGTGTTAAGAAATATAAACTCATTATGTCACTTATTCACCATACAATATAAAAATCACATAATGATTGTCAATTACATTTTACAGATTGAATTATATAAACGATGCATAGAATAAGAGTTTATTGTGATTTTGTTTTAAGTATTTAACAATCAATTTTGCCACAAAAAAAAACGGGCATTATTTACAAATTTCTTTTTCAATGCAAAAATCATATTTGATATTTTGTCCTCTGTATGGCATAAAATAGATTAACTGAAAAAAATCACCCATAAAATTATTGAAAATAATTCACAAATAATCTCCATTAAAAATGGGAAAAAAACGAAGTTGAGCGAAGGGATCTCTTTTCAACGAATTCATTATCAAGCTGTACAATCATATATATATATGAAAATTTCTTTGTTAAAGCACTAATTCCGTGAGGAAATGTAAACACGAACAACCAAGATTACGTAGTACGAAAAATAACAATAGACTTAGTGAATATAATAAGATGATTAAAATGTTTTTGTTACAATAATTAAAGGTCATAGAGGTGTAAAAATAAATAAGGTGATATGATGAGTATTTATGAATAAAATAATGAGAATATAAGACATAAGTAAGGCGGAATGCCGTAATAATAATAATTAAGGCCAAGGTAACGATAAGACGTACTTCTTTTGTACGCACAGTTCTGGTTTAAGCTCATGGATGGCAAGAGCTTCGACTATTTTCTTAAGAATTGAATAGGAAGAAATCTAGGCAGATTTGAACGAATCATATAAACAATCTTAAGATCAAACTGTGGATCCGTAGAATGATTACAGTCGATTAGGTGTTCAAGTATAGAACTCCTAACTGCTTTCCTTTCACCCTTATAGAACCTAACTAGGATGTGTTCCCGTATCCGAGTTGAAAGCGAGCGCTGGCTACGGTCAATGTACCTTGTTCCACAAGAGCAGGTGAACTGGTTGATACACATGGAGGTGACCATACGCGGAAGCTTATCTTTTATGGATACAGAAAATAAGTTCTTACTAGTGAAGGTTATTCGCAGTTCAATCGCATTAAATGTTCTTTTAATCGCTGTTGTTAGACGATTTTTGATTACGTCTGATGTTCGATCACCTTTAGATTTCAGACTTATATAAAGGTTTTTCTTTAGGACGGAACAACTAGGTTTCCTGTCGCAACTACTATTCATATTCTTCTCTATGGAACGGGCTGGGTAGCTATTTTTCGTTAAGGTTTTCTTGAGGAATACGAGTTCTCCGTTAATGCATTCTGTACTTCATATCCGATGTATTCGATGACGTGAAGAAACATTTTTCGCTTGTGACGATACTATTGATTTAGAGGATATCTTACACACCTTTAACTCATGCCACCCTTCCATAGACTTCACGTTAGAAAGGGAGCGAGACCAATCAATCCCTTTTCTCGATGTACGTCTGATGAGAAGGAGTAATGGTTCTTTGAAAAGATACGTCTTTAGAGAACAAACGTGGAATGGCCAGCTAACCAACTTCTATAGCTGGGTTCCGTTAAGTAGAAAGAGAAACCTCATTCATTCATGCAAAATGTTGCTTCAGGATTGGGTCGCATCAACACCCGAACTAATAATAGTGAGTGGAGCAGTTGAGCGTATCTACCGCTTCACTTATCTTGGAAGTCTCATCAACCCTTGTGGTCTGGTGTGTGACGAAATCTCAGCACGGATACAGAAGGCTCGACTAGCTTTTGCCAACTTGCGTCATTTATGGCGTAGGCGAGATATCCGTCTATCAACCAAAGGACGTGTTTACTGCGCAGCAGTTCGTTCCGTCCTACTTTATGGCAGTGAAGCATGGCCGGTAAGAGTAGAGGATATTCATAGGTTACTAGTATTTGATCATAGATGTCTTCGAAACATTGCTCGTATATCCTGGGACCATCGACTAAGTAATGCAGTTGTTAGGAAACGGGTACTAGGTAAGGATGGCCAATCAATTGAAGTAGTGAAACTTCATCAGTTGAGATGGCTGGTACACGTGTTACGTATGCCCAACCACCGATGTGCGACGCTTTCTGGTGTAGGAGTAGGTTAGAAGAAAGCTAGGGGCGGTCAGATCAAAACATGGCACAAATCCATGAAGTCACTGACAAGTGGACTGAGCCATGTTGGTAGGTGTAGACTACGTGGTTGGGACGTCGAGACGATAGCAACCGATGGTTAGAGACCTTGAATCACATGGCTCGAAATCGTTTGCAATGGAGCAGGTGCATCCACTCTTTGTGTTCTCTCAAATTTTAATCTTCTGCATTCTTCATGTCATGGATTATGCTCGTTGAATAATATCTTCAAACCCTAATGTTTCCGATTACTGCTTATACTCTTACTACCTCTACCACTATGTGATTTGAATCGATAACTGCATCTCTGTGTTAATGTGGTATGGCAACTCGCATTGATGTACGTAAGTACAAAGTCCCACGTTGTTACTGATTGACTGATTTAGTATAATATCAACATACTATTTAGTTTGACATATGCTGTACAGTATTAGCGTCACTTGTTGAAAAACGTTAAGTTAGCTCTTAATTTGTGAATTCGGCGTCAACCCAACCTCCCTATAGTTATCACATCGGATTTAAGACCAAGTTCTAACAATAACTGTAGCATTTGTCTAAGCACTACATAATTATAGTAGCTAAGACGTTTTTGAATTTTATTCAAGTGACGAGCTACCAACCTAATATTACTTACAGCTGATTATAAAAGTTGTTTCGATCCGGAATGTCGTACTACTTACTAATTAAGCTTTATGCCGCTTAGGGCCTATTGTGAACTATATTTACAATCAACATTGTCGTGCTGTTTGTAAATATTTAGTAGTATAAAAAATACTATGTGACAAAATACTTTTTGATTGAGATCATGAACCGATTGATGTTAGACCACCTTTGGGAACCTGGAAGCATTGAACAGCCGTTTCGTCCTATTGTTGGACTCCTCAGCAGTGCGCATCCACAACCTCTATACTAGTAATTAACATGTGCTCACTAGTGACTAGCTTCGTGAGGGAATTCTCGGAGTTCTAGTGAGAAGCCGTGACCAGTGGAGATAATCCATGTCGGGTAGAGACAGGTATCTACCTCAGTACAATGGAAGATGGTCGCGCAACTTCGTGGATTGGTTGATGTTAGACACTATCAATCCTGGATGCCGGCTCAGTGGTCCAAGAGGTTGAGCGTTCGCGCGCGAGACCGAAGGCCCTGGGTTCGAATCCCGCGATTGGGATCGTGGATGCGCACTGCTGAGGAGTCCCACAATAGGACGAGACGGCCGTCCAGTGCTTCCAGGTTTCCAAAGGTGGTCTAACATCAATCGGTTCATGATCTCAATCAAAAACTTAATAATTTCCACAACCCCTATACTAGTAAAATACTTTTTATCATTTCAATTTGAAACCGTTTAGATTATGCTGTCGTTAATAATTTTGACTGAAATTTGATTAATCATGGTTAACATATGGGCATCCTGTGCTGACTGCCTCTATATTAGCCATTATGGGACAGAATGATAAACAATAGATCGTATTCGGACGCCCATTTCATCCACTGCTATCCACATCCCATCTGTTCTATGGTTTTATTATGTTGATAGAGCCTATAAAGATTATGTGAAACACTTACAGCTTTTCTAAGTTTTGCTTAACAAATCTTTAGTTTTAAGCAAAAATAAAACGAATTCCCTGCGGCTTTGTCTCAAAAAACTACTTTTTTCTTAACTGTACATAAACTTTATTTCTAATAGAAAAAAAGAAAATTGAATGTAATTACTTACAAAGAAGGGATCATGTGAAATCACTTGAAAAAAGAGAAAACAAAAACAAAAGGAAGAGTAAAACGGTTATTTTGTTTAGTTTCCAACAAATTTTGTCTATAATAAACAAAAAAAATGAGACAATCTATCAAAAAATGGGGATGCGGAAAGAAAGGATGATATATATAAGCAAAAAGTCATGGATACGCGCATATAAAGTTACTGGAATCAATTATGATACTAAAATTTTGTTGACGTCTTTAAAGTTCTATAAAATAAAATAAATAAATTTAAGAATGAGTGAAATCGAATAAAGATGTAAATAAACGTTAGTCTACAGTCTTATTTTGTTTATTTAATGGATTCAACCACTAATTAAAACAAAGAAAGTGAATATAAAGAAAGACTTAAAATTTAAATCATTTTTATTAGTTTAGTGTATGTAAATGAAAAGAATATCGTGGATATCTGTTTAACAAACTGATAAACAAAAGAAAAAAAAGCAACTGAAAAATTCTTTTATTTAATAAGAGATTCAACTTGTATTCACTGGAATATAAAATAGACGATCTGTTGTAGTTAAAGAGTTTGAATTATTATTATTCCTCCGATGATGATGTTCCTGAGTGTCAACAGCATAATGATGCTGTTGATGTGACTGTTGTAATTGATGCTCCTGATGATGAAGATGAGGATAGTTATGTTGTTGATTGAAAGCTTCATCTTCATAATAACCACTAGTAGTATTATTACTATTATTACAATTAGTTAGTCTATTTATCATTTGACATGATGATGTTGATACTGAGGCAAGAAATGAATTATTATCAAGGCACATTGAATCTTTATGATGTTGAGATAAATTGAATTCAGATGATTTTTGTTGTTGTACAACATTATTACATTCAATTGTTGCAGATGATACTACGATACCTGATCTGGAAGAACATGAAGGTTCTAGTAATAATTCTTCTGATGTTGACAAAGAATTCGATGAAGTAACAGCAGACGCAGCTGCTGCTGCCGCCGCAACAGCGGCTATACTTGCTGCACGTATAATTTCAAGTGCTGGTTGACAATGTTGTCTTGGTCCAGATTCTGGATGATAAGTAAATGTTAAGCCACTCGCATAGATAATACCATCTTGTCGGACTAAACTAATTGGCACCTGGGATAGATAGTAAATTTTACAGAAAAAAAATAATACACATAATATAAAATTTGGTTGTTCATTCAAAAAAGATTGTAGAAATCTTACTTAACACAATCTGTAGAATGTTTCACTTTGTTACTATTTATTTTCATCAAGCTAAGGTTAAATAAAGTTAGAATACTATCGTAAAAATCTATTTGTTAAAGAGTGGATGTAAACGAAATAGATTATTCGGATATACTAATGAAATGTTATTAACTATCAATGTTAAAAATAATTGTTGACGCCCACTGTACAAACTTGAAAGATAATTGATTTTTTGCGTCTGATTTAACGAAGCTGCTCTGACGTACATTATCTGTACTGGACGATGAGTTGAAAGGGTAGTCGTCAAGTTTTTAACCCCGAGACACTTGATGAACTGGGATACCAGCAACTGTTCTTTCAACTCACCGTTCCAGAAAGTCCACATGCAGCATGTGACGCAGAGCTTCGAACTGCTGTAACGCTGCTTGCCAATCAGCTGGGTCTTCGAACTCCGTCGGCAGTCGGGAGACCAGGACGTCCCGTGTCTCCTCGTCAATGGAGCCTATTCAACCAAGTCCCACCGTCGCCGAGCCCCGCAGCAGTATCCCTAGAGTCGTCGACTCTGTCCCCAGCTCCCGTACTTCTATCAGCTCCGCAATGTCTTAGAACTGCCCCAAGAAACTCTTAACATTCCCATCCTCAAACGACCGAGGTCATGGCACCTTCATTTTGTCCTTGGCTAAAAGAATATCTTCTTTCGCGCTCTTGATTTTCAAAGTATTCTGCATATCCCCTGCTTTTTGACCTCCTAAAACCCTTCTCCTGCTGCGACCACAGTAACTTTTACTCGACGTTCTGCTAGATACTGTTTATAAGCAATCTTATGAGTAGCATTCACCATACTAGTAGTACAGCGGGAAACAAAGTAATTTCGAGATTCAAATTTTATTCGCTAAAGCATAAGGATCACACGCACACTATATACGACTGTTAAACTAGGACGAAATATTTTTTCTGAAATTAGTTCCTAGTCAACAACCATAGATTTACAGATGTTGTATTCTTCTTCATCAACATGAAAAAAATTAGAAATGAAACTGAACTGTAATCACTTTTGTAATCGAATTTACACAACAATACAACAAACAAACTTATAAATAACTTAGAAATAAAACATGCTTGTTTTTAACTCATAAACTAATTTCTATATTTTGATAATAATAAAAAAAACGAAGGTGAATTTCGATGTAAATTTCCAAAATGAGTCGGATGATAGTAGGCGACGATAGACATGTTCAGCGATGTTAAATATATTAGATTATATAGTATTGTAAAGTCCCTCTAATTTGGTTTTCACCATATTGAACGCTTGTACTATCTGACTTAAATGCGATTTTCAATTATTGGTCGGATAAAGTGTGACTATCCATAACGCGTGATTTATCTAGTGTATCATCTAGTAATTTTAATGACTATTATTTAGCGTACCAAGTATTATTCATTATTTAATTAATGACAGAGAAAGCAAGTTTTATCAACGTTATTAATACAGTGATAATCTTTTAATATCCTTTAGTCATTTACTCATGTTAGAAATTAATAATATTAAGCTCTATACTTAAATTTGTCTTAAATGTTATTTAAATCATGCTTCAATAATGTGTCATGAAAATGAGTGAACGTTAGAAGATTTAAGTTCCCATGTTAAATATTACTTAAGATGGATTTCATCAAGGATCTGATATACTAAACAACTTTTTGCTCCAAATCTATACAATCAGAAAATGCATAGTCAGATAATCATAGAAAGTATGGTATTTAACCATAAGGTCTACGTCAATGTCGGTCAGACCATATTGACATCTTCACTAATTACATTTAAAGTTTGTCAAACAATTCAAATCAATTATATCATGCATCATTATTATGGGCGAATTGAAAAATAAAACAGTCACTTTAAATAGCTTCAATTTTTAAACCTTTATTGTTAAGCAATATATCCGCTTTCTTTGTCATCAACGGTTCGAATGTAATGCTATGACCTGATATAAATAACGTTTTCAGAATACTAGTGGCAGGACACTTTATATACATATATATCAGACTGTTTGCCTGTATAGAGATAGCAGCGAAATGATTTGGAGACTAGTCTATAGTGATTGATTAATTTTGTTAACAATTGAAGAAATAAATTAAGTTTATCTAGCTTACCTCTAAAGTTTTTTGAATATATGTCCAATCTCTGTGAAATTCTGATATATCTGGAACAAAACATAATATCAGTTCTTCACAACGATAAAATGTTTGAGCTGGAACATCACCAAACCATACTTGATGCCTAGGGCTGAAATTTTCACCAATTATTTCAAGCATTGCAACATCTCCACCACCATTCACTCGCATATCTCGTACAATTGGTACAGGTGTAACTGGTGTCAGACATGATGTAGGAGGTGTGATTGATTTAATTTGGCCATCTTTTGTTCTGTATGTACTTGGTAAATGGCTAGGTTCAAACCAACGATATTCCGCTCTATCTGTACTAATAATAGTCCATGCTGCGGCATCATTTATTTTCTCACGCAAAGGATTTTCATCACATGGTGTAGATGGCAATTGGACAATTTTATCTTGTGAAAGACATAAATACATTCTATCTGTATCTTTTAAATGAAATGCACATTTATGAAGTTGACTAACTGGATCGTCAGCATCCAATAGAACAGTTGTTTTGTCTACTTTTCGTACAATCTTGAAAGAAAACGAAATAAATTATATATATGGTAAGAGAAGAAATAATCTAATGGGATAAATATTAGTTTGATATTTCTTTCTCTCTGAGTTGTGAACACATTTACTTAATTGGTCATTGTAAAATAGTTTTGTCGTGTATTGTGGTTTGATTTAGTTACTATATATACTTCCTATGGTATATCGAACTTAATCAGCAAATGAAAAGAATTAAAATGAGTAGGAGGGTATGATTGCCAAAACCAAATTCTAATATGCACAGATGATAGGTATGCGTACATTTGTCCTTCTGACCTAAGCAAGGACGTGTAGGCTAATAGTTTGAGTAGATGCATAACTGACTCCGTTCAATACAATGACTCATCAGTATATTATAACGTAATTATTGACTCGGAAATGTTATGTAAGCCGGACGACATTTGTAGAGGTAAGTAATATGTCTAGACTGAAATCAGCCAGTCAAGTTTACAATTTTGGTAATCGGTGAAAAATAAATGGATGAAAGTCAATAAGCATAACTCTGATTTTTTGTAACTGATTATTGATTATTTTATATACCTTTCAAAGTATATTCTTTCAGAATTACAGCGAAAGGTTATTAGCCACGTACATAGCAAACATATTTCATTTTAAATAAATCTGTTGGTCACGTTATACACTAAAAGTACCATTCATTGGTTAATATGCATTGAACTGTGTATAACATATTAATTAGTATCCAGTAAACAATGAATATCATATTTAATAAATTAACATGGTACTTAAATCCTATTTTCATACTAAGATGATTACATCGAATCAGAGAATTTAATATTTACCACATAGTTTCACTAAAAATAAGAGAATACGATTTGTACAGTAGGAATGTTCATTAAATGCATAGAAACCTACATTTCATATGTGATTGATATATTGCTAAGGTGACTTCATGTTACATAGTTCTTGTCAATAAATATTAGTTATTTTTTGTAAGGATAACTGGTATAACCATTTTTCTAAATTCATATATCTCCTCACTGAACTTTACTGTAATTCAGCTGATTATTGTCACTTTTACTTTGTTAATTTCACCATGTTTAAAAGTCTAGTCTCGTTACAACAGACACTCAGTTGTTTGACTTTGAAATTGTCTTTACTAAAAATCAAGATTTTCATGAGTTATTGACTTCTTCCTGCCTTCCATCGTTTTGGATATAATAGTCAATCACCTAGTCTCTCGTGTTCGCACTAGATCCCATTCGTATGAAAACCCCAACAGTTCGTAATTAGAAATTACCGTAGGCTAATACGGAAAACTTTAATTATATATATAAATATATATATATAACTTACCAAACGAGGAAGTGCCATACCAGTTTCTGAACAAACTAATTTCACTGTATGACCGTAATGTATATAACCGTCTTGTACAGTGAACTGTTCAGCTTCATCTTGATCATCAGCTAATAGATTGATTGTAAATGAGCCCCAACGACTTGAACTTGCATGGAAACTAGCATCTTCAACATGTAAATACCGTGTACTAACGGTTTGTGAACGTAATCTATTGAATAAGGCTATTTTTGTACCAGATGCAATACATACTGTAACATTGAAAGTAAAATATTTTTAAAATATTATTAATATTAATCAATGAATCAATTAACACACTGTAGCAAACTCTTTACAAGTATCGTCAAATACAGTATGCCACCAAAATAATTCCTTATATATACCTAATAGTGCTTATTACGTATAGCTTGATTGAAAAAATTTAGTTACCGAAAGATATCGAAAGAAAAATGTTGTTCATAATCCAATAACCGATTTGCATAGAAATACATTCAGTATTAAAACAGATGGTGAAGTTAAATACTACTCGTACTGTGACAGGTCTTGCCGAAATTATAGAACCTAGACCAATGAATTCACTTCACTAGTTTACTGGTAAACCTAGAAGTCTTAAATTTAGTCATATGGGGAGTTGTAAATATTAGCTTTACAGGAGTTTTAAATTAATATGAAACAGTCTATTAATTAAACACTTCCTGACATCATTTGAGATATCAGTACATTATGAAAACAATCTTTCTAAGAAAAGAATGAATATTTTTAAAATGATAAGTACTATTATTTCTCTTACGAAAAATACTTGTTTTAATTGTGCTAGGATTTCAACAGATCTTATTCATACAAAATGAACCTTGAATTAATTTCAGAAAAAAAAATCCTCCCTACATGGCAAATTATAAACATTAACAATTATATGTACGATTAATGATATCCAAGAGCAGTGGTCAAGCTTCTATATATTGTCCAACTAAAACATGAAACTAACCTCTGAAAGATTAAGTAAGTGACCCAACGGAATGAATAAAAACTCACTAGTGAGCTTTGTAATATATTAGAGGTTTATATATGTGCAAAGATGTTTTATGAGTATCAGCAATGCTTAGTCAATACAGCATTCATTTATGAATATGAAACTTATTCTACATTAAAACGCATTTAATCTAATATTTCAATCACAGATATAACTATTGAGGTATGGGACAAATGCCAGAAATTATATAAGATTTCAATATGTACATAAAATAATCAGTTCTTTCCATATTATAAATTCTTTAAAAATAATTACAAATCGAATACATTTAACTAGTTTGTAAGTTGTATTTGCCACAGGATGTTCTCAGTTAGGGTACCATTGAAAAGTAGGTAGCACTGGACAGTTGTTTAGCCCTAGTATGAGACTTGTCAGAAACGTGCATACACAGCCTTGCCAGGGATCGAAATTAAATTCTCAAGGTCACATGGCAAGCGCTAACCGCTAGAATAGCTTATTCGGGATTCAATTGTACTATTCCACCTTTGATACATCTGTGATATAGCTTGACCTATATCCAATTATTTCACTTTCGACATATCTGGGCTCCACCAATCACGAATTCTTACAAGGACTTCAGGAACATCTTTAAGTAAGTTACTAGTGATCTGATTATTATAATTTAGTTGAAGGGGTTTTGTTGAGATTATTCTGTAATCAAAACAACTTAAAAATTAAATCAATCTTCACAAACACCCCTCAAACTAAATATTTGATAAATATTAAATGAAATTTAATCATTGAACAACTATTCAATCACTACTATGAACAATGAAGTATAAAGAAAATGATTACTTACAATCAGTATTTTTTAAAGATTGTTTCTTTTTACTTGGTTTTGAAATAACTTTAATACGTCTTGAATGAAACTGACCTAAATCTTTACCATTTTTATAAAACATTTTTAATGTTAACATAAAATATTTTCGTTTATCTGAATCTGAAATAAATAATGTTTTAGCATTTGAATAATCTCTTCCATCATCTAAATTTAATTGAATCATTTCAACTGGAGTAGTTGATCCACCAATACCCATAAAAGCAAGTATCTATAGAAAAGAGAAAATAACAACTCAAAATGATGTCATTATTACTATTATTATTTTTGTAATAAAATGATATTGTGAATATTGAAATTAAGTAGTTAAAAGACTAAATAAATAAAATATCAATAAATTTCATTATAGCATATTGATAATGATCTACATGAACTGTCCAAGTTGACTATGTTCATCAGTAATCCTCACTCTTCTAGAGCTTTTACACTTTGATGAATTTTTAAATATTCTTTATCAAATAGTATATATCTTATATCTCGTTCTGTTGTCATTACCTCCCTTGCTTACATTTTAATGAGTTTCAAAACACTTTAATCATAACTACAATAGTAATGTTATTTCCCATTTTATATTCTCTTGAAGTAGTACAATGATTTATCAGTTAGATGTTTGTCTCTTTCTTTTGTTAATTTCAGTTGTATGGATAAGGCAGAGCTTATCATTTCCCTTTGTTTGCTTAACAAATTTTGTCTCTCAAAGTAACTATGATGTTATACTAAATGTTAGATGTACAGTTTAATAAATGTAAAAAAATCACGTGTTATCATCTGGATTAATCGATTGGAAAAGAGAAACAGTTAGGTAGAGAATATCTTGAAGCTACAATACAATAAATTTTTCAGTGATCTACTTAATGATGGGATTAAGGATAGAAAATTATTTTTCAACTGAATAATTTATTCATTTTACTTCTAATGAACTTTGAACATTTTATTGGCTTTACTAATAGCTTTTACCAAACTATAAATAAATATAGTTCCCACACAGTTCTTATGTTTATGCTATACTCCACAACAATCAGTGTATTCCTGATTGTTAAAATAGAATACAAGGATCTGATTTGAAGTTTTTTTCACATGAGTTTGTAAGTTTTCGTTGTTTATATTCAGGACTGAGTTTGAAGTGAAAGGTACTTGGGTCTAGTTTTAGTGTGAACACATACATTGAGATGTAAGTCTATCCAGCTGAGTACCTAATCGGACGAAACGAGCTTTCCAGATTCCATTGCTGGTCACATACCAAATATACCTAAAATATTTCACAATAAGTCACGTATTTCTTATAATAGCGTAGTCATTTTTTTCAAATGAACACAATCTTTTCTATATTTGATGAGTTTTGTGCAAATCACAAGCAGTCTTGTATCGTACACTTCTCTATTGTTTTCGTCACCTTTAATTAAACTTAAACTTTTTTAAAACCTTTCACATATCTTCATTTAAAATAAAATTTGTAAATTCATCAGGCATACCGTTGATCGTTATGTATGGTTGGCTGGCAGTTTCTAGACTAATAATATCATCCAACTACAAGCAGAACATCCTATACTATTAAAGAACTCATATTTGAACTACCTACTTGGATATTTTTTGACTTTTCGGACTGAAATGTGTGATAGTTAATACTAATCAACACTTAAGCTTATATAAATTCTTTTAGCTGTGTTAGAATAAGATGGAAAGAAAACTCTTTTCTTCTATATCTCTCTTTACTGGATATTTTAACAACACCATCGAATATACAGCTGCTTTTAAGCTATATTACTAGTTAGACAGAATGTGATCATCCACCGTTTTGGTTGCAATATTGTGAAATTTCTTCATCTCCTACTACTATTAAATATACTGCATCAAAATTCTACATTCTAGATACTAAATATATTTTCAAACCACATCGTTAGATGTCTCTTTCACATACATCACTACTTAATTCATTTACTTAAACCATAAATCTAATGACCAAGTGTCAATGATCAAAGACATTCAAATTTTGCTGGAGTTTTGTTCTACGACCAGGCCCAGGACAGAGTGGGTTGGAGAATGCTGGTCTGTGGCTTATGCTCCATTAGAAGTAACAGGCGTAAGTAAGTAAGTTGCTCTACGACCAAACCATCCAGCTCAGAGAACAAAACTCCATCAAAATCATCCACCTGAGCTACAAATCTTCTCCACCATCTCACATTCAAATTTTTCAGATTTTTTCACAGCATCCTAAACAAAATCCCTTTTAATTGTTGAGATTTTAATGTAAGGTTACAATAATATTTTCCGGGAATAACTTTAGGTCAAAATTCTCAATTGTAATAACATGATTTCTTTAGGTCTATGATTTATCGTTTTTTAAAGGTAAACAATTAACTACTTACTAAAACTGTCACTAACTATTGGAATTCTAATCAAATTATAGAATTAATCATTCTAATTTTCTATACATACATGAAAGCGAAGTCAAGATGAGCATACTCAAATTTTTAGTCTCTTTATTTATTTTAATATGAAATAAGATTCATTACTTACTTGAGATTGTTCTCCTGTAAATGAAGACGATAAATGTGAAGGTCCTGGAGTAGGGGTAGCTGTTGAATACGATATATTATTATTTTGTAGAGAATATGTTCGAACATTATTTGTGGAATAACTCACTAAATCCGTTTGATCAACATGTTCATGACTAGAGCTCAATTTTGATTCATCATGTGATGTTTGACCATACTGTAATCCCCACCCTTCACCACGAAGATATACACAAGGTGGAGGGCAGAAAAAACTGTTAAGTAAACAAATAACATTTTTTTAAAATAATAAATTCAAGAGAAACAGTGTAGAGAAAATACTTTTCCGAAGTTTAATACAAAAGAAAACTACGTTAATGATGAACTGAAAACTACGAGCTCTTTGACACTTTTTCAATCTATGAACCTATTAAAGGTCAATGCAAATATCAAATAAATATCTAGATGAACTGTTATCAGCTATTGGTAAAAAGTATACCAGATAGTTGCTATCGTTTTAGTTTTGTTAACCATTAGAAAGTTTCAACTTTTAACTATTCTATTATATTGTACATTTGAAGATTTTTAATCATATATATTTATTATTAATGCTATTTGTTAAATGGGAATATTTTTGTTAAACAAATTATTACTTTTTTAAAAGACTACTTGAGGAAAAATTGTGTTTTTTACTGAGCAAAACAAGCAACGACTTCCAACACTGTTCTATTAGTAAAGGGGTAAAAAGATTGAAAAGACCCGTTTATCAAAATAAATGAACTTTAGATTAACAGATAAGTAACATGATATATGGTGGGCTTACAGACATTTATTGGTTATGTGGTGTGTGCTACTTATATAGGCATAAGTAGTATATAACGTGAGTCAGAATATTATGTCTCGCAGAAGAAGATTAAGAGAATCAAGAAGGGAAGAACGGGAACAGAAAGCGATTGGTACGGAAATGCAGGAACAGTGAAGTCTGAGACGACTGTTTGACATTTTGCAAGTATTCATTGTATGGTTCTCAGATTTTACTAAGATGTTCTGTAATTTTGTGTTCAAATACATTCGATTGTCCCCACTCGTGTTCTTATTCATTACACTTAGATTATATTCATATTTGTTAAACATTTGTATGTTTTTAGTTTCCTTAATCATATCGTTTAACAAGTATATGCAGGAAGTATATAATAGATTGTAATTTGATGTGTTAATCCTCATCGTCTAGCGCTATGTGAGTCAGTTGAATTAGGTCAAATGAATTGGGTGGTTTATTCGAAAAATGTGTTCTTGTTTTTACTCATTCTAGTCACTATTATTTACCACGTGAAACCGAAATTGTATCACAACCTATATTTTAATAAATTTGACGGTGAATCTCCTCGAAGGTTATGCAAAATCGGGGTACAACTCAGCTATACTGTTGATCTAATAAAGATCAAGAAAATGAATTTTAGTGTTTTGTACGAAGGTCGAAGAGCATCTTAGAAAATAACCTATACATAAAGCCTGTATTTCTTAGAATTGACAAGAGAATGTGTTTAGTCCTATTAAATTATTTAAAAATAATACAGCCTAACAACTAAATCATACGTGATCGCTTGCATCGTCAGATGTAAACATTAAAAATTAATTTGTTCCCCTTTCATTTGCTCAAAGTAAACACTTAACTAATGCATTTTATTACACAGGTAGACAACCATGATCACATAATTATAGACCGCATAAATCTCAAGAAATTTATGGTAGGATCGTTTCCTCTCTTATTACATACAATTATTCTGTTTAATTTGAATTTATTTAATCCACCAGTCACGCATTTTTGTTATTTTAAGTTTGCTTACTTATAACTTTTTGAGTAATATGTATTAATACTAAAAATGTAGTAGGCTAATAGTAGACAAAGATTATTTTTACGCCTTTGGCTTTTACGGAACTAAAGCCGGTGAAATGTCTGCAACGTTTTCTCGAATTCTTAAGAAAATCAGCTTAGTAACACAAAACAATCTCGCTCAACGATTCATTAAACAAACATTGTTCTTAATTGACTAAGATAAATCTACAATCAAACAGCAATGCAAATACTCTATCTATGAACAGGTGAATTTCCTCTGAGAAAACGTAACTAAATCTTAACAAAATCTTAACGGATATGAAGTACAAGTCAACACTGAAGTCACAAATACCCGCTCCTTACTGCTTTTTTTCCATGGAAATATGAAAATATATACACCAACTTCTAAACAAATATTGATGAAAAATGAAAGTGTACACGCTCAAAACTACGAGACATTCTCTATGTGGCATAAAATGGACAATAAAAATCCATAAATAGTCAACAGAAAAAAGGACAAAGCAGAGAAAAGACGTGTTTTACCATAGTATTAACTTTACTAGGATCATCATATTATTAGAAAGGCTTTATATCTTCCTATTGTTGACGCGTTAAGGACTATCATTGACCAGTAGTTTTTGACAAATAAGCACTTCGTCAGGATCACCTCAACGTTTACCATTTAGTTGAAAGTTTTTATTAAAGTTGGATATTGGCTAACTATAAGATTCAGTGTATGTATTTCATTCTGTTTGGGACTCGTCGGCTGAATGTACCTTCATCCCGATGTTGATGTTGGGACTCAAAACCACTATCATTCGCTCCAAAAGCCCAACCTGTTATCCACTGAGCTTCTGAGTCTAGACAGCAAATAGCTTTGTAATTATATGATTATTAAAATCTCTGGTCATGATATTATCTAAAAATAATACGGTCACTTGTGATGTAAATATATTAGACGATGGAATAACTTGTCCAATTTATCATACCTAGTTCTAAAGACTTTAATCCTGTGGTTTCCTTCAATTTAGAAAATTACTGTTACTAAGTGTATGTATTTATTTCTTTTTTTTGCTGATCAGAGAATCATCAAAAGTTACATTAAATTTTCTTGAGTGAAATTCACGAAATATTGAACATTTACTTATTTTCAGTGGAAAATTTAATGAAATATATATATATATATATATATATATATATATATATATATATATATATATATATATATATGAATCTAGAGTTGATTATGATATAATAGTAGGTTTTTACAGATGGACGTTTCATTAAACAAACATTATTTAGTGTACCTATTGTTTCATTATAACTTTACTAGATAGATGTTTCTTGAATGAAGCTACAGATTAAAAGTTGATTTAAAATATTATGGAGTTATTCATTAAATTACAAAGTAGTTGCATTAATTGTATTCATATATATAGATATACATTTATCTTAGTTTAGCAGTAATTCATGTTTCATCTAATTCGCAAAACTGTCCTACACAGAACTAATAATGCATATTTTACAAATTTAGTTATAAATTGTTAAATAAATATACATATATTAGGAAGAATATTTACCTCAGTAAAATTCGGTGGCAGTTAGTAACTGATACAGATACATCCACTTGATGAGTCACAAAAAGGAGACGAGCATTTTGGAGCCCATTGACAGAGACAATCAAACTTTACTACAACTGGTGACTAAATGACAATATCAAGAAAATCTGCTCAGAATGAGACCGATAAATTTCAGTCTTAAAACACCGACAACTGAATAGTACAAACCGTTATAAATACAGTGCTTACTTGTCTATCACTTACATTGTTATTGTAAAGTTTTAATTCACACATATCACTGAGGCTTATAGCACATCAAATAATATCCTATATACATATGAACGTGTGTACATTGTGTATTCGGAAATGTTTTGTATATAGTTCAAAACATTTTCTTACCTTGATTTTTTACCTACTACTTAAAGTAGACTATGTCATATAAGGAAACTTCTAGTATGATGCATTAAGCAGTTCGTTAGAAAACTGTTAACTGAAAGGATGGGGGGTTAGGAAACTTTGTTAAAAATTGTCCTTCCAGACTACACGCATATGGCTTTTCATGTTGTGACGATATTCCACTAGTAGTATAAATCATTTTAATGTAGATTTAATCATTAATTTATATTATAAATGTAAATAGATAAATATAATTCATGTCTCATATAATCAAATATTAAGCAAACGGTTACATGGTAAGTGTCTTGGTCAAAATAGGATTTATTTTTTTAGAAATAACTAATAATGTTGTTCATATTTCATGTATTCAAACTTTTTTACATTTTATTTTCTTGAGATTATCATGATAAGGCGGGGTTCATATGTTTCAAAGTTTATTGGTGAAGTTAGTTTAGTAAAATGATTGTTTATACACATACAGAGAATTCTTGATAAAAGATAATTAAAGCTTTGCAATATATATATCATGAAAGGTGCCATAAAAAAGTGATTCTCATGACAAACTGCTTTTCTTTTTGTGATCGAGAGAAATAAAGATTCTGGATTTAATCCTAGTCTGGGTTGTGGGTTCGCACTACCGAAGAATATTATACTATGAATGAAATAGCTATCCAGTATGCTACCTGGTACTTCAACTGATATAAATCTGTAACAATAACCACTTTTAATTTGTTTTTCTCTAGCTTTGATAATACCAATTGTTAAATGTTGAACGGCTTTAAAATATTTTGATTTGTTGATACATTTTCTCTTTTACCCACTTAATACTTATAAAGAGACAAAGTCTTAGGTTTACAATTTCTATGATGTACTTTATAAGAATACTTACTTTTAAACAATTACACATTTTTGTGCATTAAGTCCCAGTATCTTATATTAATTAATTACTGTGTAAATTATTTTAACTCATTATTCATAAGCTGAATGTGTTGTATTAGGGTAATTGACAAGAAAAAAAAGAAAGGATTAATGTCATTTCAAATTAAGACATGTAACTATAACATAACTGAAATACTTCCAACATACTTTAGTCTAGATACTCAGATAAGATCATAATGATTAAGCTTAATACAATAAGATTTAATCAACAATAAAGATGTACATGTAGTACTGAATTATCATTTCATTTACATTATTGGTTCACACAAAATATTGAAGTTTGACTAAACGTTCGTTGTATTTTTTTTGGTTTTAACAACTGTAAAACAAAATATCGAATGGTAATTGGTTAAATGGAGGCGGAACAGATCGATTTAAAGGTTATTTTCAATTTACATTGATATTAAATGAAATGCTAATTTTACAATATTGTAAATCCCTATATTCAATAATGACTTGTAGGCTGTAAACAGTTTGACAACTAGTTCTTATTCAGTTTCATTTATTATTACAAAAACCTGCCCCCAAATGCCCTGGTATGGCC